CATGTGAAAAATGTCTTTTTTTGAAAAAGAAGTGTTACACAATTAGAGAATCACAGTGCTAGAAATTTAGCATCCTTCAGGAAATGTTGCATGTAAAAGAAGCCAGATACTAAATCTAAATTTAAAGGAAAAAAAATGGCAAGTTCTRCCACCAACTGGAAATGCTATGTCAATCTACAAGATGTTACACTGAAGTATATGCCTTTAGTTCCAGGAATTTTAAGCTCTGTGTGAACTCTGACTAGCTTCCCAGTATAGATATGAATCTTGTTGAAGGAGTTTGTCCATATTTCCTTCTGATTAGAAAAATTCAAATAAGATTTGTTTTACTGGGCAGAAAACCTAAAGCAGCCAGGATGAAAAGGACATTAATTATTTTTTCTATTGTTATTCTTTATTCATAATTTTCTTTCATGTTCACAGGACTCTGGAGTATYGAATAGGCTGATCTTTTATCTGTTTTGTGTAAGCAGGGGAGCCTCTTTCCAACAACCTTGTTCTACACTTTCCATTGTTTTAGAAAACTTGTGGGCACATCACATGATWAACCCCTTTTTTAAACATTATTCCATGCAAACCTGTATACTTCCTGAAAACATGAGACCCTATGCTTCCTGCTTCCCCAATCTGAGTCTGGAGGCTGTGGTGACTGTGGCTTAAGGAATGTAATTCTAGGTTGTTGTAACAATTATTGTAACATGGAGACCATCTGAGATTTTTTCAGATTTAGGGTTTGTTGGTACAAAACTTACCTCTGTTTTTTTTGCTTTTAAATGCCCTTAGTCTGCTTCTTTTGTAGAAGTGAAAAATTCAAGAAAGACATCACTTTTGGCCATGATACAGGCTAGAGACTGACAYCCTGAGGAGCAGTTTCACTGAATAGGGTGTGGAGATTTTGTAGACAAGCAGAACATTATCCAGCAATGTGTCCTGACAGCAAACAAGTCACAACACTGGGCTTACAGCAGGAGCACAGCCAGGAGGTTGAGRGAAGTGATTATTCCCCTTWGTAGTCATTAGATCCCACCTTGAAYTATGCACCCAGCTTTGGCCTCCAATGTGGGAAARATATGGATAAACCATAATAGGAGGACCACCAGGATGGTCAGGACCTCRAGTACTTGCTCTGTGAGGAGAGACTAAGGAAGTGGGCTTCTTCAGCCTGGAGAAGAGAGAGCTTTAAGGGAACTCAGTAGCAGATTCAATTCCTACAGGGAGCTCAGTCATCAAAAAGATGGAGCTAGGCTTTTCACAGCGATGCCTGGCAAAAGGATGAGAAGCAATGAGCATAAACTAAATTAAGAATCACCGAGCTCAGGGAAAACCTTTTTCTCTACCAGGACAGTCAAACACTGCACTAGGTTGCCAAAAGCTGTTGTGCCATCTCTATCCTTGAAGTTTTTCAAGATCAGACTTAAAAACTTGGGGCAACCCGGTCAAACCTYGTATCTGACTCTGCTTTGAGCATGACACTAGACTACAGACCTCCTGAGATCCCCTCCGTTCTGAATTACTCTGTGATCGTGCTGTCATAATATAGTATTGCAATAATGGAGTAGTAATAGCAAAATCTTAATTGCTCTGAATATTTAAATGATTTGGCTGTGCATTGCTTTTGGAATCCAGAAATGCTCATATGCCCTGCACGTTGTCCAAACAGCTTGTATTTGTGCTTATTTACTGGTATGACGTGCAAACTGTGCAAAAAATATTGGACTCTAGCCTTAGAATATAGATACCTGCCAACAGAAAATGAAGGCTACATGGTGCTGCAAATGCTTTCTCTGTCTATGGAAAGTGCCTTTTATGTGCCAGAAAAAAGCATTTGTACCACATGCTTTTTTACTGCTTCTCACATCTGTTAACATTTACATGTGTCAGAAAACAATACCTGAGCAGAAAGGGAAGGGACACATGAAGTTCAAGGGCATTATATCAAGAAAAATGACATGTCATATTGGACTAGTGCATTGGAATTAAAAAAAAAAAAAAAAAGGATTTCTTGGATTTGTCAAATATACCTAATATGTGAGTGTAATTCGTGTGTACTATCTTTGAATACATTTCCATACCTGAATTGAATGACACAAATTGCCAGTAAATGAACCCATGAAAGGGTCAAGGAGTGATAATCAGGAGGTGAAAGAATTATAAATATTTTGGTTTATTAAAAAATAATATATTTTTATTTCATTTAAGGGAGGATTTATATAAAAATCTTCAAAGTTGGATKCCTAAATACAGAATTACTACTTCTRTTGAAATATTTTGCATTTTTGATAATCTTCTCTTCAGCTGTCTTTTTGTTAGCACAAAAGGAGTAGGTTAACTGACAAATGTTGCTGTATCCTCAGTCCTCAGAGGCAGCTACTGTATTGGGCAGTGTTTCCAAGAAAATGAAAATCCTGAGACACAGCATAGTACTGGATTTTGTATGACGTGGCAGTTCTTGCAGATGTTACCCCTGGCAAGTGATTTAGAAGAACAGCAAATTAGAGAGAAACTGATCCTTGATCCCCTGAACTCAGAAGGAAAAAAATCAGTATTTGATACTTTTGTAGAAATTGGTGTTAGTATCAGTTGCATTTGTACCACTAATTCTTTAGGCATCTATTTGGGTCCTTTGAACCACTGTCATGCAGCATTCTGTTCTTTGATGCCTCACCCTGATTTTCCAAAATGCACCTGCAATAAAGCACATGGACCCTCCCCTACAGCTMTTATCATTGAATAATACTGAGTTCTTCGTGGAAAGTGGCAGAAAAATAACTATTCTCCCATGCCTAGAAAGAAGTGATGGCTAAAATAAGAGGTAATTAACCTTGAACTCAGTCCTACCTAATGTTAGACATAATAAAGGCAAAGGTCAATTTTTGTTTTTTCCTATGTTCCTACTACATAATGTATCTCCAAAACACTGTTTCTGTGATGAACATCTGCTCTTACAGATGGATACAAGTCTTATCTGAAATTATTATGGATGTTAGGGTTCCACACTCACTACACCAAAAAAGCATTAGATCTGGGAGATGCAATGAGTAATTGACTAATCATGTAAGGCATATAGTTTTYTTGCCCCCAAATTTAAAACCCAGAGCTTTACCAAAGCCACCATATGAGTGGTATGTCCATATATATTTTAGGGTTTGAGTCAGGGATTTGAAGGATCTAYAGCAGTTTTCTTCTCTAAGTTGCACGAGAAAGTTGTGAGGCACCCAAAGAATCACTTGGTAATTTAAGCTGATGAGAAATCAGCTCGTGGCAAATGGCAAAGAAGAGAGATCTTTGTCCAACAGTTAAGTATTTGGCAAGACTTTCACTCTGTGCTTTGTTAAGCAGCTTTATCATTACAGGTAGGCATGTGGTCTCCTTGGTCCACTTGAAGTCAGTGGTGAACCTTCCACTGTCTTCTCTGGTTGCTGACCCTGGCCCAGGTTTTGCTCACAAATGGGAACATAAACATTTCTCATAATTTCTTCTTAGGTCATTTTAACTCTGGCATATCCTTTCAGAAGTGTTCATATTTTAAGAGTTCTACCTAGCTTCTTGGACCTAGACATCTGCTAACAGTAACGGAGATTTTAAGAAGAAGGAATGCTAGAAAAAAATTATCATTGATGCTTAATTGATATAATACTCTTTCTGACATAATTCACGCCTGTCACAGGCAGTCTTGCATGTTGCCTGGAGGGGTCAAAGGGTGAAAGGTGACTGGAAAGATGCTTGTTTTGTACATTTGGCTAACACAAATACTTCCTCAAGAACAAAATGCTTTGATCTCCCTAAGCAAATGCCATATGTGTGCAGCTGTGGCCCATGCCTCACGACTGCTGGAAGGTTAGGAAAAGGTAGCGTATGAACTTGATGTCTGCATTCAATTTATGCTTTTATATTTAGCAGTTCATAATTTTGTGTAATATTTTAGCTGTATGAAAAATATGCACCAGAGTTGAGTGATAACAGATTTCTCTGTGGTTTAACTCAACATTGTTTGGGTGAATACAGATTCCTAAGTATTGCAGACTGAAAATACAGGTTTTAATTAGAGCTGTCTGAGCTTCAAAATACCTGAACGCACATTAAGCCTGGCAAATTTTCAGAAATCTGGGGGTTGCGTGGAGCTGAGTTAAGCTAGGCAAGAGTCTTCTCTTTTCCAGCTATAYTGCATTTGCAGTTGCATCACTGACTTGCAACACACTGAAGTGAGATCCAAACTCAATATTAATGGTTTTCTGATARGTAAAAATGTTTTATCACCAAGGCCTGTCTTGTGTCATATTTGTGTTAAACAGTACCTTACTCTCAGGGAATTTCTACTACAATTTTGAATGACTTCCAGAGTAAAGGGTCTACTCTTCAGACTGAAAAGCTGAATCAACTCTAAAGGTTTTGTGCCTTTCTTGAGCTTTTGTTTTTCACTTTTACATGCAAATGTTTAAGACAGTTATGTTTAGATCTATATCCCTCCAGATGTTTAACAGAGTTAAGAGTTGTTTGCTGTGATCAYAAAGAAACCTACTGCAGTCAATAGGACACAAGGGTACATCATATGAATCCAGTTTCATGATCAAGACCCAAAAAAAAGCATGGCTTTGTTTATTAAAACTCCTGAGCAGGTGCAATGATACCTGTGTGCCTTGGGGGGAATATTGTGACTCAAATAAAATGTGCAATTTCACTTACAATAAAAAAATATAAGTCACAACCAATAGACGGACATGGAACAATAACCAGAAAATAAGACATGAAAATATCAATTCACAGGTACAAATATGATAAAATACAATGCATTGCACTTTAATGTGGATGTTAATACATACATGTTTACAAAAGTATACGTGTAGTAGTTACATATGTACAATGTGATGTTGTTAATGATTGTTAGTATTTTGTTTATCAAGCGTGTGGATAAATTCATGCAATTGTTCTAGATATGATTTGAACATTACTGAAACAGAAGCACACTGATTTGTTTTTTTTCTCCTCTGTGTTTTTGCTAGCTCCTACTGCCCATGGTAGGCTCCACAGATGACACTCTGCAGGAGGCAGCAGCTGGTTGCATAGCAAACATTCGCAGATTGGCTCTGGCAACAGAAAAAGCAAAATATGGCTGATGCTTCAGCAGCTTTTACCAACACACTTGTTTAGCAATTCAGCTACATTTAAATACACGATTACTCCTTCTAGCATCTGTATTTCATAGCAGAGCTCATCTATCTGAGGATAATTTATTAAAAACAAATCTGTGGAAACTTATGTATGTTTTTATGTTACTGGTTTGTCACACCGAGGTTTGATAAAACATTCATACCTAATTTTGTGTGGTTTTTAGCAATATATCCTTCAAAAGACTATCAGTTAAGATATGTCAGACATTTTTGACAATTGATACGCTTTTATTTTAATTCATTGTAGATATAAATGTTTTTGTTCATCTGTGACATTGCTATAGATTTTCCTTGTGTGTGTGTGTGGTTATGCAGCAATTTATGAATGTCTTGAACAATTCCCTGCATTGTAAACTTGTCCAGTCATCCTCTCATTATGCTTTTGCGTGTTTGATCACTTGTGAATCACAGGAGAGCAGAAAATGCAGATACATGAGTTTCACATCTGGTGTTGCACAAAGGACTGCAAACAGCTGTAGCAATAGACATCACTCCAAATTTTCCATTTCTACCCAACGTCAAGCAAAATAGTGCTTAATTTTATAAGTAGCTGGTGAAATGTGTTTTAATCAACATGTGTTTAACTCTGAATAAAGAGTTGGATATTAGATTTACATTTGCACATTATCTTTTTGTGATTTTTTCATTTTTAAACTGAAGACAACATTGTATTGATGTAGTTACTTTCTTTTTCTCCATAAAATGAAATGCAGAATTACAGTTGYTTTCAAAAAAGCACAGAAATTATTATTGATATTATAAATTACAGACCCACTGTACATACCACACTCAACAATAATGCTAAGTCATTTCTTTGAGAGCAGTGATGTCCTAATTACACACACAGACTGCTGACAAAAATGAAAAAAAAGCAAATATTTAAATTATTTGCATCTGTCAAGGATTAGTTTCTCAATTATTTTTAATTCCTTTAATAATTAACAATTTTCTTTGTTTAGGAGCATTTTGTAACTTCATTATCTTCCTCYAACTAGCATGACTTCTCAAGGCAACTAACTTTCTTGCTGACAGAAGCTTCTAAGGAAGACATAATGCCAATCCACCTTTTAATTTGTGTTTTCTCTGAAGTAGACATGAACGCTCATTTAAAATTTCATTTTGGAAGACTTGCAGAGTTCTGAAAAAGGAGAATTGCACTGGGCCTTTAGGGAAGGTGTAGAGATTATTTTAAAGGAAGCCAACTATGGACAGATGCTGACAGTGTGGAGATCAAAATGTCAATCCAAGYAGTATTTTTTGATCAGTGCAAACACCAACATAGTCACGGGGTCCATCACAAGATCCATCAGCATCCAGTGACCACGTAAATGCTATTTTAGGTACTCTCCAGCTCTGCCCCATAGGCCTGGTATGTTATTTTGAATAAATGTGTCTATAATATTATACTGATGTCACAGCTGTAGTAGTATCATATGCTTTATTGCATGCCCAAAAATATTTCTAAAATAAATGCTAATTGCCAAATTCTTTTGAAAAAGAAGAGGCTTGATTTTATTTTTGTCTTTTCTGTGAGAGAAGCTGTGGATACAAATAGTTTGTCACAGTCTCACTTATGAATAACATGTAAAATGTTAGCTTATTTTTCTGACTGTTGAGAGAAAAAAAACTCCCTGAAAATAACTCTTGTCCTTAACATGACCTCTCAAGGCACACTTGACTGTTTAGCGTGGATTTCAAGTAGAATAAGTTCTAAAACAAGCTTAATTTTATGATACAGGTGTCAGGGCAATAAATGTCATGTTTCTGACAATGAAATGGCCTCAGTTTGCCATTCTCACTCACACTGGTAGCCCTTATGCCTCCAAGTAGTTAATCTGAAGCCTTTATTTTAAGACCTCAGCCAGTTAATCCCAGATTTAAACTAACTTACTTGTGCTGTTTTCTTTTCCTTTACCATGCCTGCAGTTTTAAAGTTCTGTACAAGGAAAAGAATTGTTGAAATCAATACAGATCACTACACAGGCAAAGAAACAGTATAAAAAATACATCTTTTTTGGCCAAAACTGGTRGATTCCATGTAATTAATATAAAGAGATTTAGTTGTTGGAAAATGAATAAATGAATGTGATCGCTGGCCCCTCTGAGCAGTGCAGTACAGCGTGTACATTTGAAAAGCTTCCACTTTGTCCACAGATCTGCACTGAGTTTCACAGCACTGCAGCCCTCTGAAAAGGGATCCTCACAAAGCTGGGTCCCCCATGCTGCTCACACAGCCCTCCAACCCTCCTGGCAGTGCCCGCTGGCCTATTCAAGCCCTGGCACCATCCCAAGGCGCTGCCCAGGCCCAGCATTCCCACCGTGCAGAACCAGGCACCAGCCAGCTCCCGCTCCCTGGCTCCCCTGCTTGGAAGGGAAATGCCTTCACTCCTTGCTCTTTCCACCAGCTGCTACTTGTCCATGTAAACCTGTAGCCTCTTAGGAAATAGGGTTATACTGAGTAYGGGCGCTCAGTATTATTTTCGGTGCAGAGCAATTTGATGTACAAATTATTTTTATTGCAAAAATGTAGTGATTTAGAAGGGGGAGTCAGGCTGTGTCCTGTYCATTTGCTGCCAGTTGCTCAGTCTGCTCCCTCCTTGTTTTCTCTATGTGATTCCWGTAGTTTCACGGTCTTGCAATATGCCCTTTTTTCCAGTTTATTTACATTGATGTTCCTGTCAGCAGGGAGTATCCATCACTTTTCGCAGTTTCAGGAGCCAGGTCCCTGCTCTGCACAGAGCGCCGTGCTCCAATTGGCAGCCACAACGCCAGGCCTGCTCTCCACCGACTGCTCATCGTCAGCTTTGCTCCTCAATTACATTAAAATGTCAGAAAACATAGAGTCCAAGTAAGAAAAGTTGTCATGAGAAAGTGTTGTTTTGAGTATGGAAATACTAGAGTTGATGAGAAAAAAGCAAGAGAAGAAATCTTTCACCTTCRTGCAATTATTTCTGGAACCTTACAGGCACACCACATCTTTCAGTCTACACATCTGTCAGCAGCGAGATAGCTTTTCTTCTACCACTCTGTCACTTTATGATTTATTGCTTGGTGACAGATAACCATTATCAATAATTTAATTGTCCCAGGATGTTCAAACTACACATTTGAATCTGGGATTTATGTTCATTTCCTTTTAGTGTTCATGCTAATGACAAGTGCATRTGCTCTGACACACGATATTGTCTCCAAGTTGTTAGAGAAATAYAAACTTCACGGCCTGGGTGCAAGGCATCTGTGATATATTAGGGGTTTTGTTATTCTGCTCCATCACCAAAACTTTCCTTTGGAAAGTAAATGAGCTTGAGACTCACAGGGCTGTCTCRAGAATTGACTCAGTAATTTGCTTTAGGCTAACTGATCACTTTGTGTGAAAGCGTGGTACCTCTCATTCCTACATCTCCTAAAATGAGTTGAGTGAGCTGCTAACGCTGGAGGTCAGATATGAATCATCCCAGGAGGCTGAACTAGATAATATGTTAGTTTAAGAATTTCATCTCATAATAAATTAAATGGTTGTTCCTTACACATTTCCACCAAAATAATCTTTGTTTTACACATGACAGCAGGATGACTGCGATGGAAACATGTAATGTGTTTCTTCAGCAGGGCAATTCAAGTTTCCRTGCAAGCTGTTTGCAGAGCTTGTTTCCAGAGTCAGAATCTGACTGCTCCCAAACTGCAAATTGTGGTTGATCTCTTCTTTAGCCACTTAAGCTTTGCCACACACTGCTCAGGATCCAGAACAACAGAAGGAGGCTGTGCTGCATCTTGGCCGCTCTTCAGTTCAGACAACCTAATCRTGGACTGTTCAGTGACCTGGCACARGCCAGCACCAGCATGTTTGAGCCATAGCCATTGCAGTGACAAGTTACATTGCACCATTTATAAAGGAACTAATTTTGCCAGTTATTGTTCTCTCCCTTGCTTAAATAGTGATGTTCTTCAGTGTTTAATATCTTGCTGCTTTGGCTACTGAAAGCAGCCAAAAGTCACCCATTTTCATGAACCTTTTCCTTGAGTGCAATTTTCATTGTAACTTGCGCTTTATCTACTTATCAGTTTAGTAATATTATTTTCTTGGAAGTATTTCCATGGACAACATCACCGTGGCTTGTGTTTATTCTCTTAACTTGTTTTTGTGTTATCTGCCAGACACCTTTCAGTTGGCAAGCTCCTTTCTCTTTTCCAGTTGGCAAGTTCCTTCCTCTTTCCCAGTTGTTGTCGTTGGCAGGTTATGTGTTTTTATCCTGGTCTACGTTGAGCATGAAACCCTTCAGTTGCCTGATTGTTTACAACTGTGATCAAATCTACTTTAGACACAAATGTTTTCCTTCTGGAAGGCTCATCAACGCACATAAGGAAGTGCTGACTTTGGCTGCCATACAATATGATGTGGCCTCATCCTGCCATCCTGTGTCTGTTCTGCAGTGACACAAAGCCATCCTCACATGTCTTCTTCCATCATTTGGGAATCCTGACATGATGACAGGATAGTACTTGGTAAGTCAAAACCTGTGACTGTTGTTACTTTGACTGTGTGTTGGAAAAGGACCATAACAATGGCATTGTACTAATGCTGAACCATGAACCAAGAGGTCATAAACCAGCAGTTTTTAGTCAACTCCCCACTACACCAGGATCTTTTAAAGTTTCTCCATTCTTCTTCAGGTGAGAAATGGCCAAGAAACTTTTGGGGGTCAGAATTGTTCTTTGCAATTGGTAATGCTGGTAAGTTTTTGCCCAGCCATGCTTTGTCACACCCCACTTCTGCAAGGGCTTGGTGAAGGCAAGAAAGCAAAGCTGAGCACCTGTGCTCGAGTGGCTGCATCTGGTAGCAGAGTTTCCCTTCAGTGGCTGAGCCTTGAACCGTATCTTCTAATACCCAGATTAAATAGCTAGGGATTTGTGTCCTGCTTCTGAAAAACAAAAAAAAAAAGGAAAAAAAAAAAAAAGAAAAAAAGAGGCTTTAATAAAAATGGTAATTAAAAAAATACAGATGCTGATAAAATTAAAAACATATGATAAGGAGTTAAAATGATTTAGTGCTGAAAAATGTTGGTTGATTCAGTAGTAGTTAAACTTCCAAATAACTTGTCTTGAACAAGCAAATAGTTATAAGTATTTGGCTCTGTGTCTTTTTTTAAAAAGAGTGAACACAGATCATGTTGCTGGTTCCCTCTACCACTAACTGGTAAAGGCTGCACTATAAAATTAGTGCAGTAAACCACTCATCTTTCCAGTTGCCGCATTCTCTTCCCCAGTTGACAGCCTTTTGGGGCCTCCTTGGCTCCTCAGCGGAAAGCACCAAGTGCAGTTCTGTTGCTCTAATGAAAACATAACAACAACGTCTGGGAAGCCATAGAATGATGCAATACCCATACAGCTCTGCTCCCTTTAATGTGATGAAGCTTGCATATTTGCCTGGCTCCAGAGTTTTACTCCTGCCAGTATTGTACTGTAAAGAGACTTGGCAGAACACGTTCAAAGGCTGTTCGTGGTTTTTCACTCAGCATTAAACCTTCCAATGACGGAAGGGTGGGGGAAC